GGGGGGGGAAGCGGACCAGCTGTGTATCACCTCTATTCCTGGCGACTGCAGCAGCGCCGCCTTCCCTCCCTGGTCATCTGACTCCCCTACCTTCTGTGACTCCAACACCCCCTCTTGCGGGGTGCACAGGCTCTCGGTGCAGCTCAGAGTACCCCAGGTTTATGGGGAGACTAGTGATGGTCCTAGGGCCTGTCTGCATTAGGGACCCTGCACCAATGTCGTTCTGTTGCTGCATCTACAAGGGAAGTTTATGTTGAACTGTGATCTGCTCTGGTAACCTGGTTGAGCAAGCACCATCTTCTACCCCCTAAGCACCAGTGCAGGTACACTGCTGGAAATGCCCCTACGGTGGATCGACGCCAAGGACTTGCTGTTGGCCCCGGTCACCAATGGCTCCATCCAGCTCTATCACCATCTCTTTTAAATAACCATCCCCTTAGTGCTGTATTTTTGAAATGCTGGGCAGGCCCTAGGTCTCAAGCATAAAATGGAGAGGAGGGTGGTTAGGGAGTCATTTCTTTTTCTCCCCACTCTTTCAAAATATTACAAATACAAAAAATGACATGTGCAATCTGTCCTGTAAGGGGAATTGTCCTTTTAAGAACATCTGCCCTAGGAGCAAACGCGGTGCTGTAAATGTTTTAAAACATGGTTGTAATATGCAAAATACTATACCCTGTTTTCTAATCTATAAAGCAGATGAGCGCATACACCAATGCTCATGTTGTGTGCTGGAGACAATAGGCTTTACTATGCCTGGCTATACAGCCAACGTGAGTTCAGGGTTAGCATGGGGTCTGTCGGGTTCAGACATTCTCACCCCTACCAGGGATCAGCTCCCAGGGAAATTCAGGGAGCACTGTCAGTATGTGATTGCTTGTACAAGTAGGATCACATGTTCCCTGCCTGAGAAAGTTAATCTGCTTCACCCAGAACATGGTGGCTGTTACAGCCTGGTGTATAAGGTTCCTGGAAGAAGTGCTGCTCTCCTGAAGCAAGGGAGTGGGAAGGTAGCAGGTGTGTGTTTGGGACAGGGCCGGCTCCAGGCACCAGCCCTCCAAGCATGTGCTTGGGGCGGTGCTCACCTGGGGAGAACAGGGCCGTGGCCAGGCTTGGCGCCCTCCCCTGCTGTGCTTCCTGGCCCGGGGCACTGGGAGGCCCTTTTGCCTGGGGCGGCAAAAAAGCCAGAGCCGGTCCTGGTTTGGGGCATGAGAGGGAAGAGCACAGTGAACCTGTAGAAGGAGGGGTAGCAGGAACACATGCAGAGGGATTTGAGATGCTTGAAAGCAAAGATGAGGGTGGGGAAAGCAAACGGGTGCTGGAATTTGAAGTGGAGAGAAATCTGGAGTGAAGGGAGGTGCATAGATTTGGCCAGTTTGCATGTGAAAATGTTTTCAGTTTGTACTTAGAAGGTGAGACCTCTGGGGCAGGGGCTGTCTTTGGTGGGTGTGTGCGCAGCGCCTAACACTGGCTACTGGGGCGCCTAGGCGTGGCACAATTCACATAATAAATAATGTGTGTTAATTAATCCCCATTCAGTAACCAGAGACCAGACCAGCTACAACAACACCCGCCTAACTCCTTCCTGGCCTGCAGATGGTGCTATTTGCACATGGCTCTTTCCAGTGGAAAGCCAGGCTGGGATCAGGGCCTCAAGGGCGGTGTGAGCTCTGACCTGGGAATTACAGCAGCTAGGACTGGTCATCAGAAAAGAATGAAAATAGGATGTTCTTGCAGTGGCCCTGCATTATATAATACTGGGCCTGGTACCCCCTCATTATGTGACATTACATATTAGAGAACATGGGCCCTTATTAATATCATAGACATATTGTCTGGCTTTAAGTTTCTGGGGTTTTTTTTCCTTCCCCAACTTTGTTTAAGGAGTAAAATGCAGTTGCTCGCCTCGTGTATTAAAAAATCAGTTGTGAGTCTCCCCCACCGCCCCCACAAAAAAAAGCACGAGATCGGCTTACAAGTCACGAGGATTGTAATAACAACAGCTGGAGTGCTGTGATTTGCCTTTTGGTGCTGTAGCCTTTCGCGTTTACATTTTCTGCGTGACCGTGCCGCCTAGAAGCGTTTTTTTTTTAGTTACAAGCGAGGTTCTCCTCTCAATTATGGGACCCCGGGGAACGGGGGCTTTAAGAAACGCACAGAATCTGGTGAGACTAGCTGTAAAATCATGAGAATGGCAACAATTTAGTCATTTTCCAGCCCCCGCCCCCATTTCAATTCCTGGGGGAAACACTGGGGGCCGGACTAGTACTGGAGACAGTGATCCGGAGCAGAACCAAACCCAGGTCAAAGGGCAGAGCCAAGCTTAGCTCTGGCTTGACTCTAGGCCCCTGGGTCTTTCGGATAGTGTTTAGTGCCCTGCTGTATTCATTAGCACCCCACCCCCCATTAGGGCTTTAGGTTCAAAGTGATAACCCCCCTTCCAAAGCCAGTGTCTAAGAACCATTTAAATTTCTTATAAAATTAGGCCAAAGCCTGACATTTACTCCCCTCCTTCCCATTGGTGAAATCTGCCCACAAAGGGTGTCATGAAACCAACAGAATCTGCCAGCCCCACCCCACTCCAGCTTCCTAGGAGCTCATCCCAGGAGCAGACGCACCAATGCAAACCTATAACTAGTTGACCGCTGGGTGCGTGTGTGGGGGGGTGTACACCCCCCAGGGTGGGGGTAGGGAAATCCGCTCTCCGAGGTACCAGACACGCGGTCACCCCGTGGTCAAATGGGGAACTGAGGCACACGGGGCGAGTGACTCCCCCCGGCCAGCCACGCGGGAAGCATGGGGCAGCGCAGAGCTGTGACCAGGGCCCCTGGCCCCACAGGGGCCCCCCTGAGAATATACCATTCTATAGTATTGCAACTTTTTTTATGGAAGGGGCCCCCGAAATTGCTTTGCCCCTGAACCCTCTGGGCGGCCCTGGCTGTGACCCCGGCTCTTCTGGGGGCCAAACACGGGCCCCTCCCCTGGTCTGTGGGACCGTCCCCCAAGTCTGCCCCTGCGGGGGCGGAGCTGCGAGCTCGGCCTATCGGGGACAGCTCCCGTCCCAGCCAATGAGCAGCGGCCGATTCAACCTACTGCAGCCAATGAGCCCTTCGCACGGCTGGGACTGGACGGCGTCACCCCGCCCCCCGAGAGCGGCGCGGCGCGGGGCCCTTTAAGAGCGGAACGCGGCGCCCCCCGCCCGGATACAGTGTAGCCAGCGCCGGGCAGCGCCTTAAAGGGGCCGCCGCAGATTGAGCCGAGGGGCGCCCCCCAGACCTACCCCAGCCATGCGGGCCGGGGGATGGAGCCGGCGGAGCTCGACGTGCTGGGGCTGCGGGAGCAGCTGTTCCACGAGCGGGTCCGGGAGTGCCTGGTGAGTGGGGGCCGATACCACGGGGATGGGCTCAGGGGAGGCAGGGCCAGCGCCTTGGTCCGCATCTGCTGCTGGCGGAGCACGGGGGGGGCGTCAAGCCCCTGGGGAGGGGGGAGCTGGGCAGAGCAGGGGGTGGAGGGTCCGAGGGGCTCTCAGTGGGGTCCCTGCTCCCTTGGTGGAGCCCTGGGGTGGCAGTAATGGGGGTGCTGGCAAGGGCCAGGTGTGGCCCTTTGCCTGGGGCCCTTGAATCCCGCTCAGGGGTTCAGGTGCCTGGCCCAGGTTGTTGTTGGTGGGGCTGGGCCAGTGGTCCGGGCTGGGCAAACGCCTGGTGTCTGGCTCTGAGTTGGACTAAGAAAAACAAAACTTTTTGCCCCCTTCAGCCCCCCACCTTCGGTGCCCTGCCGAAAATGTACTCGCTCAGGAGTTCATAACCGCCTGTGGGTTTGTAACGCGTTTCACCCCGAAGCGGGGTGTGAGGTGCCTGCGGAAGCTGCTTCAGCCTTGGTGAAATGCAGCTACTTCTGATGCGTGGCGTGGCAGGACCCTGACAGCTGCACACGCTGCCTCTTTGGAGAGGCCTTGGGTCAAACTGACCGAGCCTCCATGTTTCCACCCCCCACCCCCTTTGTCCCCCCCCCAAAAGAGGGAACCTTGGGGATCCCTAGGAGCAAAGCAGCGGCCAGGTGAGACTCTGGTCTGAGTTACCGTGGTCACTGGGTCTCACCGTGGCCCCCGCCCTGTGCCGTTACCTCCGGCTTTGGAAGTCTTGCTCAGCTGTGACCGTTCTCTCTGCTAGACACCCCTCCCTGTCCACGCACCCTGCTTATCTCTCTGGGAGGCGTCTGGAGCTGCGGCTGCCTTTAAAGATTGCGCCTGTATTGTGTCTGCAGAGCCATTTCCCCCAGCCCGAGAGGGGCGACCGTGCGGCGGATCAGGGGAGCCACCCGTGGCCGACGCCTGTGTCCGTGGGGATCAGGCTGCACTTGGGCGCAGATCACAGCACTGCTGCGTCACGACAACATCAGCCGAGGGCTGTGTTTTGACACCCGATGCCCGCCGCGGCTCGGTTTCCCAGCGTCAGCTAGAAAGGGGGGATCTAACAAGAAACTTTTTTTTGGGACATGCCTCTGCCCAGAGGCAGCTGCCCGGCTCGTCTCAGTGCCACGGTCTTTGGAGGGGATTGGCAGCGGGGCTGTTCCCCTCGCTCTCCGGGCGTCGAACCGGTCCCCGTGTGGCTGGATATTCCTCACCCTTGTCCAAGGGGACGCCAGCCTCTTAGCAGGGTTTTAAGTGTGGTAGTAGCGACCGTGATCTGCTTAGCAGAGAGAGTTTGGGCCTTATGCAGTATGAGTGGATGTCCCAAGGGCATCGCGTCTGCACAGAGACTGCACTTCCATGGGGTATTGTCTTCATCTAGGCAAAAGAATTCTTCCTCCCCGCCCCAGTGCAAACCGTGCAGGGCCACCTGGGAGCCCTTCGCCATGGGACAGTGCGGCAGCACCAGCTTGTATGGCTGGTGCCAAGGTCATCGCTCTCAGCACGATTGTAGCCGGTTAGTTTGGGAATTCGGAGGCTCCTGGCAGGATCCTCGCCTCCCTGGCTGTGGTGGGATCTGGACTGGCCAGCTGCAGTCATGACTAGGAACGTGCCCTCTTGCCAGCAGGGCTCTGGTGTTGGGGGTGTGGGGGGGGGAAATATGCTAGAACCATTTGACCTCTGTCCTAACCAGCCCCCCCCCCCCTCCAGTGTCCGCTGG